TTTGGGCTTTCATTCTTTTTGTTTTGTTTTGTTTTTTTATTTAAAATTTTAATTATATGCATTTTCTTATAGTATAATGATCAACAGCAAGAATTTATTTCTCAATGAATTAATGAATTAATTAAGAATTGTGTTTCTTTTTTGTTTTTCTTTGTGAATATATTTTTTTTTTTCGATTGATCTGAAAAATATTAATAATAAAAGCATTTATAAATGATAAATTTTTGTTATATAATCAATTGATTTACAGATGGTATCAACAATTCGAGTAGGAATTATTGGTGGATCAGGTTTTGATCGAAGTGATATTTTATCAAATCGTGTTGAACATGAAATTTTTGATACACCTTATGGACAACCATCAGATCATTTAGTTAGTGGAACGATTAATGGTGTTCAATGTGTATTATGTTTTCGACATGGACGTCAACATTCGTTTAATCCTACAAAACTTAAGTAAGTAATTTTAAAATTGATATTGTTGTATCTATAGTTTTCAATCTGTTTTTTTTTTATTGCTCATTTTAGTTATCGAGCTAATCTTTGGGCATTGAAACAACTTGGTGTTGATTTAGTTTTGGCTACAACAGCAGTTGGTTCATTATCTGAAGATTTTAAACGTGGTACTCTTGTCGTTTTTGGTATTGATATTGTGTATTCTATTATTCATTTTTATCAAGGTTCTGATTATAATTTAGATAATTTCATTGATATGACAAAGCATCGTCCAAATACATTTTATGATCATGAGCCTGGTCATCTTCAAGGTTTGTCAATGATCATTGTGTTTTATAATAAATTAGGAATAATATAACCATATTAGACGTTTATTTGTACTACCGTCGGTATACTAGTAGTCGATTGACAATCAGAGAATAGTTAATCATTTAAGTATCAATCTATTACCGTTTTTTGTCCAATTTGAATATCTATTTCGAAAGAGTAGAAAAATTTTCTATGTGCATGATTATGACACGAAAACCGAAAATTTTTCAAGACTAAAAAGATCATTTAAGATTGAGACTATGATCATGGAAAATGAAGTTCTTCAATTAAAAAGATCTCTTGTAAATCTTTAATTAGGTTCTATGTACAGATGTTAGATATTCTAGTATTTCGTATCGAGACAGATAAATATAAGAACAAAGCTTATTTCTTCACACAACAGAACTTTCAGTATTAGTGTCGCAGAATAGATGAGATCAGAAAATTGAACACTTTCATAATGAACTAATGTCATTGAGAACTGTATACTTGAAAATGACGGATATTACACATTATGTATTTCTGAAAATTCACTAAAATGATCATAATTGAAGATAAGAAACTCGTGGCACAAATTCTTTTAGACTTACTCTAGTCTCAATCGTACTTTCGTAATGCAATAAGACCTATTTTAAAAGCAATTTATCATATAGTGAAATTACTAAATTATCGATTGTGAATTTCTGAAATTATAATCTATAAGAATTTTCTATGAATTTATATTTGTTTTTCGCTTACAATGGAAACATACGAACTGGTATCCATCATTTGAATAACCAATTTTGAGTAATTCTCTCGTTAGCAGTAACAGAATAACACTTTCTTTGATATACAAATTGGAATATTATTTTTATAGGTGTTATGCATATGAGTATGCATCCTCCATATGATCGTGAATTACGTCAATTATTACTTCAATCATGTGCTGAAACACCTGATGTTATATATAAAGAAAAATCAACTGTTGTTGTTATTGAAGGACCTAATTTTTCAACTTATGCTGAAAATAAAGTTTTTATTAGTTGGGGTTGTACAACAATCGGAATGACACAAACACCTGAAACAATTCTTGCAAAAGAATTAGGTCTACCATATGCAGCACTTGGGATTGTTACTGATGACATCTGTTGGAAAGAAGATGGTTTGTTTTGCGTTCTTTTTTTTTTTTTTGTCATGTGATATAAGAACGAGAAAGTCAATATTTGATTTTGTCCTAGGTATTGTCGAGCCAAATGAGGTCATAACAATATTTAAAGCAACATTTCCAAAAGCAATGGAAGTACTTAAACGTACAATACAAAAAATTGGTGAAAAAGATTGGAAAGAAATATTAGAAACAATTCGAAATCGTACAGAAGAAGCAATTATGAAACATTAAAAAAAACGAAAAGTAAATGAACAAACAGATGTCAGTATTTTTGATTGTTTTTCTCTGATATTATTTGTTCTACGGTGCAATGTAATTTTATTGTGATAAAACTAAAAAAAAATAAACTGTTGTCAGGAATGAGAGATATTTCTATTTTTGTTAATTGTACTGCTGATTGTTACTTTCTAAATCAATAGAAGAATAAAAATTTCATAACAAGTCATGTTATTCATCATTGAAATGTTTATACTGATGATAAAGTATCGGATGAGTCAAAATGATTGGATATTTTGAAAGTATCGCAACACACTGATAAATTCTATGACGTTGAATTTTTTTATGTGTTAAAAGATGCATCGGCAAAGTCTCTAAAAGAATAGCAATAAAATATTTTGAGAGAAATAATAAGGAATTATAACATTATTTCATCTCCAATAAATCATAAAACGTTGAATCGTTTTGAAGAGGATTAACGCATGATAAAACTGTTGGTCTTGAATCGATTACAATCCTTTCAATTAAGGAGGTCATTTCAAACAAAAAAAAGTGAATTTTATAGGAATAGACAATCTAAATTCATATGATCTAGAATATTTTTGATATTCTGCAATATGCTAATTATTTTAATAGAAAAAATTGTATTCTTGAAAAGCATTTGAAATTTTCGATTATAGAATAGTAACAACTAGTATTAATATTTAAACTAAAGTTTATATATAGATTCGGTGAAGAGTCTTTGAATTTTCAGTGTAAAATGAATCATTCATATAATCAATGACAATAATGATTTATGTCCCTATATTGACCCAGACAGTGTCGCTGTTTTTTTTATTGAAACGAATACGTTACCTACCAATAAAAGAAAGAAAAAGGTATTTTTCTAAATGGTTCTTTAATTACCTAATTGCAATTCTATTTAAGTAAAAAAAAATATATATGCATTCATCTCGAATAATGTTTTTTTTCCATCATAATAACATTTCTTTACAAGCCATTCTTGTTTGTTGATATAATTATATGATTTAGTACAATATGGCAAATCCAGGGCTTTCACGGAGTAATAATTTATCATCAGATATGCTATTTTTTAACCGATAAAGATTGATTATGTTATCATCAAGCATTTGTACTTGAAGTCCAGCAAATTAGTTCTATGTCTGTTTTCCTAAGGACAAATGATATTTGTGATGTATGAGAACTTGATATTGATTGTAAAAAATTAGATGATATAAAAGAAGAATTATGTCTCAAATTAAAAGATGGAAATTTTTTAGTACGATCTGACATTCGAAATAGTTTTCATTATTTAAAAGAAAATTATGATTAAATTAACACAAGATAAACTTAAATAACAGTAAAAACAAAAAAGTCATAATTCATCAACAACAATAAATATCAATTTAATTCTGGTCACAACAAATGCAGTAGTACCATTACCAACATTTGCACCTATTTTATAAATTTCACTTAATGATCACAAATAATATGTATTAAATTTGTTAAACCAATGGTATACTCATAATAAAGAAAACCTGAAATTAGATAATGTCGATTTTATAGAATGTATTAATTTGCGTCTAAATGTAGTAAATATTAATGATGATACAGATGCAGCAATATTATGAAAATGTAGAGTACTAACAAAATTATCTCAAAAAGATGAAAAATTACAATTATCTAATTTTTATAAATATTTTAAAGGATTCTAATTGTTTACATATGAGCAAAAACAAAAGAAATAGTGTCATTATCACTAGGGCAAACATCAAGACCACAAACTATTACTTGCTCAATAACATTAGAACCGTAAATTCCCCCGAACGTGTCGTCATTACAAATGACAACAACTTCAAGCTCAAAACGTTCAGCAACAGCAACAAATATGTTGCCATCGGCTACAGAAAGATAAATATATAAATCATAAAAACTTTGTTTTGTTTAGTTTTTCTATTTATTATCAATGATAGATTATTTTGATTCTTCTCATATGTCAATTTTATATTATCGGTTTTATTATTATTCACTAGTGTTGTTATCTTTTATAAACATTAGTATTTGTTTCTGTTAGATGTTCAACATTGTTATTTTATTTTTATCATAGTTAAAATAAGTAACAGTTCTCTCTCTAAGTACACATTTTTATATTTTCTGTTAATTATTATAAGTAAGAGAAATAACATGATGATTTCTCTCTTTGAATATGTTACTGCAAAAAAACTACTATATAGTAAAAAGAAGACTGATTCTTTGCCCTCTACTGTAAGCTTTACGTGCATTACTTTTTTATTAATTTTTTTCTACATGAAAATCTATATCATAAAAACTGACTAGATTTCTTCTAAGTTTTGAGTCAAAAACAAATTACCTAAATCTATATGAGCGAATATGCAGAAGCATGAAGAAACATTATAAATGTAGAAGTATTCTTTTGACTCCTATTTTTAATATAAACGACAAAGTACAAAGACATATGAAAAGTACTAGAAGTATGGCAGTATTTTTTTGCCTTCTTTCCTCGTGATATTGATATAAACGCAATAGTAGTTGAAAAAAGAACGAGTCGTCCAAAGTACAAGGTCTTTCAATTGAGAACGAGAAGAAAGAACGAAAAGAGATAGGAGAGAGAAAATAAAAATTTGCTTGTTTCGGGTTATGGGAACGAGAAAAAACGGCCTTGAAGGGATAAAAGAATAGACAACATATGATGGGTACATCGCCTGAAGAACAAGAGCATAGCATATATAAATAGACTGCAGAGAAGCAAATTTTCATTATTTAGTGTTTTGATGAAAGAATAATTATTGATCCACTTCATATACAAAATTTTCATTTTCTATCTATTTCGATTTCATCATAAGACAATATCATGAACAGAGCTTTCTACGAATTAATACGGTCGGCACCGAAGGGCCGTTGGAATGGAATTCAAAGAAACTATGGACCTGAACAAGTTCATCAATTACGCAGTGGAGTCCAGATTGAATACACTTTAGCGGTAAATATTTTGGTGAAATTTTTTAAAAATTTTCTAAAACTAGACCATGATTTGATTATGTTTATAAAAAGTATTTTATAAGTTTCGACCCCGTGTTTATTTTTTTCTCTCTCTTTGCAATATTCAATTGTAAAGAGAGATTGATTATATGTATAGTTTTCAAGAGCAACATCTAAGGTATCAATCCACGAAATTTTTATTCAATTCACATCAACCCTAAGAGATTATAATATCGATAAAAATTTTGAAAAAAATTTGTCAAAGGTATTTCTTTTATTATTTGCCTATCAAGATTTAACAAAAAGAGTAAAAATATAAATGCGAGTACGAGCTTTCTCTCACCTAAATACCGTACGATAGGAAATGAGCGACAAAAACGACTCACAACTAGGCACAAGTAAGTGACTACTATTTTTGTTAAACCTTGATAGGCAAAAGCTAAAAAAAATATCTTTGACAAATTTTTTCAAAATTTTTATCAATGTAATTCACCTTTAAGGCTCATACAACATGAATAAAAATTTTGTTGATTGATAGTTTAGTTGTTGTTCTTGAAAAATATATATTCAATATCTCTCCATAATGGCTTTCAAATAGTATACATGCATTTTTTCGATAAAAGTTGACCTGAAAATTAATGATATGAAAAATTTCATAATTTTATAGACGATTGGAGCGAACAAGCTGTGGAAGTTGTTAGAAACGGAGCCGTACGTTCATGCGCTCGGAGCTATCACGGGAAATCAAGCAATGCAAATGGTTCGCGCTGGCTTGCGCGCGATTTATTTGTCCGGTAAATTTTTTTTTTTTTTTTTTTTTTTTTTGAATTTTGACTCAGTCATTTGATTAAGTTAAGTTTTCACTTAAAAGAATGAACAGAATCTAATGCTGATACTTCTTAATAATATTACAGTAAATTACTTCTGGATGCAGAAAAATAAAATTAAAACATTTTGAACAAACTGCAAAAAAAATTCGAGAAAAAAAATAGAAATTTTCAAATTTTTTTGAAAATTTTACATATAAGAGTCGGCATATATTTAGGCTGGCAAGTTGCAGCAGATGGAAACACAGCCGGATCTATGTATCCAGATCAGAGCTTGTATCCAGCAAATTCCGGACCGGAATTGGCTCGTCGAATCAACAAAACTTTGGAACGCGCTTCACAAATCGAACAGTCTGAAGGTGGAGTGCAACGTGATTGGTTCGCTCCAATCGTTGCCGATGCCGAGGCTGGATTCGGAGGTGCTTTGAATTGTTTTGAAATCATGAAAGCCTATATTGAAGCTGGAGCTGCCGGAGTTCATTTCGAAGATCAGTTGGCTGCCGAGAAAAAATGCGGGCATTTGGGCGGAAAGGTAATAAAAATTCGAATTTCAATTTGAATTTCCAGTATAAACTAGTTTTTTCAAAAAAAATTTCTAGGTCTTGATCCCAAACAGTGCCCATTTGCGGAACTTGAACGCAGCTCGTTTGGCGGCGGATGTTTACGGAGTTCCGACCGTAATAGTAAGTCGAACGGACGCTGAGTCGGCGACACTTTTGACATCGGACATCGACGAAGGAGATCGAGAGTTCATCGATACTGCGGCCGGCCGAACTGCAGAAGGATTTTTCCGTCTGAAAAAGGGAACCGGAGTGAAGCATTGCATCAAAAGATGTCTCACTGCGGCACCATTTACTGACCTTCTTTGGTGGGAAACTTCGACGCCTAATTTGGAACATGCAAAGATATTTGCAGAAGCAATACAAAAGGAATTCCCTGGTAAAATGATGGCATACAATTGTTCACCTTCGTTCAATTGGCGAGCAAATTTGAGTCCAGAAGCGATTGCGAAATTCCAGGCAAGTATTTGAAATTTTCTAACATTTTTGAAATTTCAAAAATTTTCAGGCCGAGCTTGGAGCCATGGGCTATAAATTCCAATTCATTACGCTGGCCGGATTCCATTCGGTGAACTTTGGAATGTTTGAACTTGCCCGAAACTATAAGGAACGTGGAATGACCGCTTATTCAGAACTTCAGCAAGCAGAATTTGACGCTGAAAAAAATGGATATACGGCCGTTCGGCATCAGCGCGAAGTTGGAACCGGGTATTTTGATTTGGTGACCATGGCTGTTGCAGGTAAAGAACTTGAAGGAATCAGGAATAAAGAATTCAGCCGATCGAATTTCTGATCGTAGGTGGCCGAGAATTAGCTGTGTAAATTTCAGATTTTTAAAAATTTCCCAAATTTTTCACTAAAAAAGTTCTCTTGAATTTGAGGCAGATCTGTAGTATAAAATAATTGGCAAAAGAAAGCAAATGATTAATAATGAAAAATATTTAGGAGGAAAAGCGAGCACAACCGCCTTGTCCAAATCCACCGAAACCGCACAATTCACGGAACAAGCTCAATCAATGCCAGCTGGCAGCCCATCGGTTCATTCCCAAGCGGAGGTCAAACAGCAATTTGTCGGAAGAATGCCACGGTAAATTTTTATTCCGGTCGCTAGAAATTCGATTTAATTTCAAGAGCCCAAGGCATCCACGACTCAAAACGTGCGACCTATGAGTTCCGAGTCATGAAAGTGTTTTTTTATTTTTTTAATTATAAAACATATTATAAATAATTTTATTCAAAATATTTGTAAAAATAAAAATCAAAAAAATTTAATTGATTTTCAGTGCCCTAATGTCCAGTATGGCGAAAGTGACCGTATCCGCAGATGATCCAATTGAAATCACGATGGATTTGAAAAAAGGCGATGATAAAATAATCAACAGAGAAACGATGGAATTTTTGGCCACTTTGCACCGCCGATTTGAGAAAAAACGTCAGCAAATTTTGAGCGCCCGAAAAATCCGTCAGACTCGTTTAGACGCTGGCGAGCGACCGGGATTTTTGGTGGCGACTGAAAAAGATATTCGAAAAGCAACTTGGAAAATTAGAGGCAAAAATTTCAAAATTTTTTCCTTAATAATTTGAATTTCAACATTATTTCACCCGAAACTTTTCAGGAACCCCAAACGACCTTCAAGATCGTCGAGTCGAAATCACAGGCCCATGCGATCGAAAAATGGTCATTAATGCGCTGAATTCTGGAGCAAAAACTTACATGGCAGATTTCGAAGATTCTACAACTCCAACGTGGAGAAATTTGATCGAAGGCCAAAAAAATTTATATGACGCCATTCGCGGTGAAATTTCTTATCAAGATCCTCAAAGTGGAAAACAATACGAAGTTGGTAAGGAATTATTCTGGGATCAAATTTTAAAAAATTTTGAAATACTCAAAATTTTCGAAATTTTTTTTTTTAGGTTCAAAACCTGCGGTCCTAATGATCCGACCCAGAGGTTGGCATTTGCCAGAATTGCATGTTAAAGTCGATGGTGAACCGATGTCTGGATCGATTTTTGATTTTGCTCTTTATGTTTTCAATAACGCCAAAAAATTGATGGAAAATGGAACCGGACCGTATCTGTATCTTCCAAAAATGGAAAACTATCATGAAGCTGAACTTTGGAACGAAGTTTTGGATGCCGCAGAAGATTATTTGAAATTGCCCCGAGGAACCATTAAGGTAATAGTTGTTGGATTGCAACATTCATTTTGATTATATTTGCATCAGTTTTGTATGGAAAAATTTTTTTTGTTGTCGAAGTGTTTGTTTGCCGTAATACTTTCGAAAAAATTTCATCATTTCATTTCATTTTTGAAGGTAACTGTTCTGGTTGAACATATTCTGTTCACTTATGAAATCGACGAAGTCTTGTACGCCCTTCGGGACCATATTGTGGGTCTCAACTGCGGTCGCTGGGACTACATTTTCTCATACATCAAAGCGTTCCGAAATCATCGTGAATTTCTGACTCCGAATCGTTCAGAAATTCGAATGACGACCCCTTTTATGCAAAACTATGCTCGTTTTGTCATCAAAACTTGCCATCAACGTGGAGCCCATGCAATGGGAGGAATGGCAGCGCAAATTCCTATAAAATCGGATGCAAATGAAAATACAAAAGCTTTGAACGCTGTGCGAGAAGTAAATAAAATTTAATGAATTAAAAATAAAAACTAAAATGAAAACTTCGCTAAAATTTCGAAAATGTTTCTCAAATTTCAGGATAAAATCCGCGAAGCCACTGAAGGTCATGATGGAACTTGGGTTGCGCATCCAGGTCTCGTCAATGTGGCCGCCGAAGCCTTCAACGAAGTAATGGGTATAAAACCGAATCAAGTGGATCGTCAAAGACCTGATGTAAATCCGTCTGCTGCGGATTTAATCCAGTTTCCGACTGGGGAACGCTCGGAAGTTGGACTTCGACATAATATCAATGTTACGTTGGGCTATTTGGAATCTTGGCTACGCGGAACTGGTAAGGACATAAGCTTTCGAAACTAATGATAGGCACTCTAAATAGTGGATTGAATAGGGCATTCATAGACGAAGCGAATAACGTCACTTATGTACGACCTAATTTGCTGCCGATTAGAAGTTCTTTATAAGCAGTTGAATGAGCATGTGAATATATGACGTGATTCGCTCCAAGTCTGGGGCACTCATTTCGGACCATCTAGAAGAAATTTATTTTTTAACGGACACCAATTTCAATCACTGTTATTATTTCAGGTTGCGTTCCCCTGTATAATCTAATGGAAGATGCTGCAACCGCAGAAATCAGTCGTTCTCAAATTTGGCAATGGATCCACCACGAAGCGAAATTAAACGATGGCCGCTCAGTTGATCTTCGAATGGTCGAAAATGTAATCAAGGAAGAAAAAACAAAATGGTCGGCCAAAGCTGAAAAAGGAAATCGATTGGACGATGCCGCAGATCTTTTGATGAAATTCGTCAGTGACAAAAATTTGAAGGAATTTTTAACTTTGGACGCCTACGAGAAGTTGGTCGGTGAAGGACATTAATTTTTATTATTCATTTTTAATTTGCTTATGCAACCGAAACTTTTTTCATTTTATGGAAAAATTATACAAATTTGTAGATTTTAGACGTACGAAATTAGAATTTTTCGTACGGTATCTTATTTCCGCCTTACATTCTGCCGTCATGTTTGACTTTCATATATTATTGGGTGTCGAGTGTGAGATTTTGAGGGTGTGAGTGTAAATTAACAGCTATAATAATCTCAAAAAAAGAAAACGAATAAAATTTTTTGTAACATGACCAGTAATTTTCACTTTGTTAATAGACATTATTTGAAGAGGTCTATCATATTGTCTGCAAGATATAATAGAAAAATATATAAATTCCCATTTGTTGTTTTTATGTTGAAAATAAAATCCACAAAGACTCATTTCATTTCAGACAAATCATAAGCCATTAATTTATGAGCTTTATGCTTTTCATTTAAATAATTAATATTTTGACGAATATATGTTAACATCTCATCTTCAGACATTTTTACATGATCAGCAATCACAATTGATTATCAATTATGGCTATGATATGCCACATAAGATTTTGGAGGCTAAGATAATTTGAAAGAAAAAAAACCTACTTTTTGATGAAATAATATTTCCAAAAAATTTTTTACTATATTTTCATATGACACCAAATGATGGATGAATTGTACTTAATGATTTAAATGAAACGATTCATTGGGAATTTTTTGAGTGTTCAATTAGAAGATCAGTAGTTTCAGGAATCAAAGCATTCATTTCATATGTTACTTATGAAAGAACTAAAAAAGCACTATAAATTAATCCGTTCTATTTTAGTCCTACATAGAATAAGCAGAAGTGAATGTAGAAGACAATGTAGCGATCTTCAGCAAGATGGTTATAATCTTTTTAATTTTGATTTTTTAAAAATTTTCTTCAGAAGTTAGATATAGCCTATAGATTAGTTTAAAACGATGGAAAAAAAACTTTGAACTATCCATTAATAAAAAATCAAAGAAAAAAACAAGTAACAATCACTCAAAAACTTAGAATTGAAAAAATATATAAAAATGGCTGACATAATACATTTCTTCTAGTGACATAAGCGAAATTATACATTAGATCCGAATGGGACAAATATATAGTCACAAAGTATTACTCAAAGAACACCTTATAGATAGGTGTACTTACAAGATTTTGAACAAAAATTTTTTATAAAATGAAATATAAAAAAATTATAGCCATTTTGATGAAGACCACGGGCTTACTTTAATTTCTTCTCTTTGTAATGATTTCTTGTCTCTATAGTTCTTTTTTTTTCTTTATAAGTTCCAGTTTTTAGTACAAAATATTCCTAAATCAACATGTACGGTGAGAATTAGGATCTGATATTTTGCATATAGTATGATCGTATACAACTGTATGCATTCATATGTGGTTCGTAAACGATGAACGTTTAACTCCGTATATGGAGAACCAGATCATAATTTTTTCAAAATTATGTATTCTTTACGATCCCGTTTCTTTCCGTAAACCGCCATTTACTAGCGTGCTTGTTCAACCTAGGCTACGTTAGATTATAACAAAAAATATCTTGATTGGAAAATACATCAAGAAGCTTCAAGATTTTGTTCCTTGTTGTGACATTGAATATACTTGGTATATTTTTCGAACAAACAAGTGGAATGATAGAATTGAAAAGAACAAATGAAGAAAATTTCAACGCATTCATGTGCAAAAAAAGAACTTCGTCAAGTTAAAAGTAATTTTTTGAAAATGCAAGAAAATAAAATTAAAATACAATGTAAAGAAAATAAACTTAGCTAACTATTGAACACAGCAAAATGTCACTCATTTTAGATTAAATGGAGAAAAATTGAACGGCATTCGAACGTTCGCAAACAAAACCACAATGTATTTCTTCTACAAGGCAATAAAATTTTTAGTTAATTTTTGTCGCACAAGATTTCGATGTTAAATCATAGTTAAGATTTTTTTTCATTTAAATTATGAAAACAACTAGATTTTTATTTTTTAAAAATGAATTTATATGCTCTATATGCCAAGATTTGTTAACAAATAATTAACACATTAAATGCATTTTTTTGAAAAATAAAATTTTCACAAATCAAAACAAAAAAAGAAATATCATTTAATTCACACTGATGAGAACAAAAAAGAAATACAAATATTGAAAATGAGTTTTGTACTATGTAAGCTATAAGAAAGTTTTCTCTTTTCTTGACTAATGCAACATGTTCTTTAGGCTATTCTTGATCAGGACAGACATGATTTCGTTGTTTTTCAAAATGCATACCCATTAAATAAGTAGGAAGTATAAATTTTTCATCATCGACTTTATTTTCATCAATAGCATTTTCTTCATTTTGTAATATTTGATCAGATAGTACATCTTTATGAAAAAATAAATATTTCAAGTGTAAATAAATAAATCATACAGTTTTACCTATTGATGCGGTTTCTGATATGGCATTTTCATTCATCAGACGTTGTTGACGTAATTGTTCGTCATTAAGTATATCAATAAAAAATTTTTGAAAACATGATAATAATTCATCTAATTATATTATTCAATTTTTATCATAGAGAAAACAATACAAAAAAAGGAATGTCTTAACAAACCTGCTTTTTCGACAGGAGTTATACTATTCTCAACAAGATTCATTAGTTCTAAAAAGAAATAAAGATTAAAAAAATAACTGAAGAAATTTTAGATATGAAAAGAAAAATAACATACTCTTTTTATTACTATCATAAAACGAATGTGTATCATCTGGCGGTTCAGCTGGACTAAAATCTTTAATATCATCTTTCCAACAAAATGTTTTTGTAAAAGCATATAAAAATGGATTATATAATGTGCACGTTAAATTATCGATTAGTATTATTTCAGAATTTACTTTTAACATGTCTTTGACATTTGACTCTTAATATTTATATCGAAATATTAGTTAAAAGAAAATTTCCTAAATAATTCACCTACCATTATTTTTTACAATACTAGTAATTTCGTCATTAATAACAACATCAACTTTACTCTCTACTGTAGAGTTAATATTAGAAGAAACATGTTCTTCGTTCATAATAAGATCTATAAATATAGATTGATAGAAAAAAACAAAAATGAATTTTTTTTTCCTCTATACCTTGATAAGTATTATTTAATGGAATAAGCATTAGCTTATCATATATTTCTAAACTTTTATTAATTGATAATTCGATCTTCGTAGCATAATATTGAACATCTTAGCAGATGTTTCAATAATTAATAAATAAAAGACTTTTTCTTTTCAATTGTACTTACATATACAACTACAAATACCAAGAAGTATATGAAATTTATAATAATATATTCTACTGATCAACTCTACAAAAATCAATTTAGAATCATTATATTATTGACGTTTTCATTTTTAATTTAAAAATAAAACTCACTTTGAATCTTAATAAATAATAGTTGAACTAAAATAGAAAATAAATAATAAAGAAATAGATACAAAAGATAACCAAAATGTGAAAAAAAAAATGAACCTGGATAACAAGGTTGAGTTTGTCCAAATCCTATATAATTTTGATTAATAGTATGTACAATACGCACATCTATTTGAACATCTAATAATTTCAAAAATGTTTTAATGAGAATATATTTTTGTAAAATAAATAAATGCGTACATTCAATCTGTACAGCTGGATCTAATGGTATTTCGGTAACTGTTTCAGAATATTCTATAGAAATAGAAAGAATTATAATAGTAAATCTTTTAATCTAAAATATCCTGATCCTTAAATGAATATCTTTCAATTGATTAGGACAGATCATCTGAAAGGCTAATCCAATTAAGTTTCATCGAATTTTGTTCAGCGAGAAATGAATGAATTTTAGATTTTATCATTATGATAAAAAAAAACTAATTTCAATGAGTATTTTTGTACTAATGACTTAAATTAAATATAAATTCATCATACAAACCATCTGTGGCTTCATTTATAATATCTTCATCATTTTCATCAATCATATAGATAAATGAAACATTAAATATTGACATAAGCGATATTAAAATAGTATAGAAGTTTTGTAAACGATAATAAATCATAATATCCATTGATCCAATATATATTTTGTCTACACAGGACTTTTTTTTTTATCTAAAAATAATTGAAAATCTTCAAGAAAATTAAATCAAAATATTTTTTTTATTATTTTCAAAAATCATTGAATACTTAGCAATTTTTTTTTGTTAACTTCTTTATGAAAATTTTCGACTGTACACTCACAAACAAATTATTTCAGTTGACACCTACCGTTCGAGTTCATATGGGCTTACAAGCAGATTTCAGTGAGACTAGGAAGTATCGAAAACAGATTATAATTTTATTTACTAGATTTTCAATTCATTTGATAGCAATAGTCTCCAAAACCTTATAATGAAGTTTCAATACAAAATTTTGTCTATAGATAAGTCTAATAATTTCGTAGAATATGTCTAAGTCAAGTGATTCGATTTTTGTTACATACCCATATGTACTGATATAGATATCCATACAGAAATCTTCATTAGTTCGTAAGTGTTTACAAAGATGCATGTAGTAATGAGAGACAAAAAATTTAATATTCCAGAAATGACTTCTTTGTCTTAGTCTGTAATGGTTAAGAAAAGGCGAAAACGAAAAGAAGAATCAAAAAAAAAAAAGAACGACTGGTAACTAACAAAACGAATTTAAAAGAAAATGAAGAATAAAGGAAAAGTAGAATACAATGGTACATCATACGTTTAACTAATAATTGTCCAAAAAGAAAATTTAAGTAGAAGAAACATTGATGACATTCTTTTCTTTGAAGGAAAGTCATACCTCTGTTGACTACACAGAGTTATACATCCATATCTTCAATTGCTTTATTTATAAGATAACGAGTTGATTACTAAAGAATCTTTTTAATTTAAAATACTAAAAGTTATTCTCTCAATATCAATATTGACAGAATAGTAGTCATAAATACTAACATATTTGTATGTGGATTGAGTTTATCATAAATAAATGAGTCACTTTTATTTATATCAATAAATATGAGGCTTTAAATTTCATAGTATTTATTTTTAGCTTCTATTTTGGTTGTTTTTTTCGTTCTGTCATTATATTTTCTCATTCTATATGAAGAAAAAACTGAGTATAAACGCGTGGTTAACTTATGACTCAAGAAAACAGAAGGCAGCAATATGTTTTTTTTGTATGTAGCTTTTCTCAATAATCTTATTGACAGGAACTATTTAGAAAAAAAAAACTTAATAACATGTTAAATGTTAATACTTATTATGAAATTGTAATCTATAGTACTTTAGATAATAATGTTTTTTAGTTGATTTTGGAAGCTTATAAGTTGACTTTCTAGTCTAGAAGAAGAACATTGTATCAACTTTTATCGATAATTATGATTTTTTGCAATTTTTTTTTTTTTGATTTTTATCTTCATGAAAGAGAATTTAAAAGAAAAACCTACAAAGAACTAGAATGAAAATACGTATTAAAAAAAAAACAACTTTAATTTACCTACTAATTTTATCATCAATAGACATACGAAACACCGTGAAGCTTGTTACTATTTTGATTGAATAAGAAAATAAAAATTTCATAGTTGATGACAGATTCATATAAAAAAAAATTTTTTTTCACTCTTGTCTAATCGTTCTAATGTTATCACTACTATACTCAAATGTTCTGTCGTCGTACGAGCAGGAAAGAAAACAAATGATAATGCCGGATTGGTAAAAAAAAGTATAAGATTCATTTTGCCAAACTTCATCCCTTTTTTTTTTCTCATTCGCACAATCGAATATTTTTGTATGATCACTGTCAATATTAGTTGCTTGTGCTTTTTTTCGAATAAAAAGCAAAATAATTGAGAAGACATCGACAAACACAAACCTATGCCGTTAATAATTGTATTTACAACTACTAATATTTTTGTTATTCGTGATAGTTATTCTTGTTCTAAGGAAAGAAGAAAAAAAATCGATGACATTATTTAATTGTGTTTTTTTTTAATGCCAAACACTTGTTTTTTATATAAGTAGCAACTTGATGTATATTTAGGCTGTGTATGAGGATTCTTAGATTGAATATACATTAATAAACTGAATACAAAAAATATCTGACAGAGATGAAATAAATGAACCCAACATTTCAGAGTAAAACATTTCATTAGCTGTTATACAAAAATGCTTATTTCATTTATTTGTAAGCAAAAAAAGAAAAAAGCTAATGGAGGAACATAAAATAAAAACTCGTATGATAATCGATGCATTTCATGTCATCATTATCATACATAGGCTAGCAGTCAAAATTTTCGAAAATTTTTTTTTTAAAGTATTCAATTCTATTTAAATGAGAAGAAAAACAACTGTAATGATTAATAGGTAAAATTAAATGAAATCAATAATTATCAATAGAATTGAAACTAGTTTTCAAAATTTTAATAAAAAAGAATTAAAAGATCAATTTTTGTTAAAAATTTTGATGAAATGTCGATGACAAAGAAAAATAGACTACCATAGATACGTCATCAAGTCAAACCTTGCAGTTATCACGTGGTTTCCTACTGTACTCTTTATTTTTTTTTCTTGTTCGGTTTGAAAAATATGAAAGAGAAAAAGAACAGAAAAAAAATTGAAAATGAAATTAATTTTCAAATTACTCAATATTTCTATCAAAATAGAAATTATTCAGTAAATATTTTTAAAGTTTTCTTCCTTAACATTTTATTATCATTGGTTTAGAATAAACTTTGTTGATATATATATTTTTTCTTTATGAGACTATCTTAAAAATTATGAAAAATTATATAAATATTACAGTGTATTTTTTACATTTATGGTTTTACACAGTTAGCATGAACATAATAAAAATAGATTGAACATTATAAATTCTATAATATTTACTATTCAATAAATTATTATACTCATTCAACTGATTCTCTCAAAGACTATACAAATGTGATAGTTCACTGTTAGATTTATTTGGATAAGATTCAAATATTAAACGTAATACGTACTTGATATTATCAAATAGATTTTGAAATAACATAAAAATATCAACATGTTGAGTAATACACTATGTTGATTTTAAATTGAGTATAAACCAAGACACACAAACTGAAATAGCAACAAGGATAATATGTAATATGAACTGCAACTCAATACTATTCAGGTAAATATACACTTCATTTTAGGAAGTTAAGGTGGTGTGATGTTCGGACTTGCTTTTTATTGGCTGATTGCCTACGCATTTTCTTTTTCAGATTCTTCCATTTTCTTTGGTGTTTAGCCAATTTCATATGATTTCTAGTGATGAAGTAAACAACTGAGAAAAAAAGAGCGACTTGCTCTTTTTTCTCACATCGATGATTAGAATATATATTCGTATAGGCAAAGTTCGTGATGCATAATACTTAAAAAAAACCGGACTACATCAGGTTCGGCTCTTTGAGACAGGCTGTGATTATTTTCATACTATTAGTGTAAACAAATACTACTATGAAGCTTTTATGTTGACCTCACACTATAGAAATTTATCTGTTGTCGATTAAGAAAAATGCATATGCGATACCGTTCAAAACAAAACTCTATTTTTATCGAAGAGAATAGAACAAGAATGAGATCAGCAGAATCTTTATGGATGATATGACATTTATGCAAATAGAGTTAATTTTTATGATTACTTTGTTTAAATATTGAAGTTCATGTCTGATAATTAACACAGATAATGAAA